CTTTCAAATATGTACAAATGCTGCCATGTGAATTTATAAATTTTCGATGGGTCTATTGATCTTATTTGAGAACAAAATGTTAGTGACCATATCAGGGAAGCCGCCATTAGTTTATATTTCAGAATAACCCATGGAAAAATGACCATTAACAGCGCTATCCATGAGTGTTGCTGTTGACACGTGTAACCTCACCAGCTACTTTCAAATACTTCGACTTCTCATAAAAGTGATCTAAGGAGAAGGTTTTCGCCTTTTGCCTTTGACTAATTAAAATGAAAAAATGTACAAGAACATTTTTATAATAAAAGTATTCGAAATTTTCTGTGAATGTGCCACCCTGTGAATGTTTTTGAATTTCTTTGCTTCTGATATGAACTGAATTATAGAGGAATTTTGTGTTCTTATTTCTGAAATTTTACTGAAATGTTATGAGCAAAAAAAATACTTAGGTCGTGAAATCGGGGAGGGTATAAGCGCATTATTAAGAGCCCCGTTTCTTTGTTGAAAGTTTGGGATTCGATTCCGTTACTGAGATAATCAAGATCTCCGTAATTCGTCCAGTAGCTTCGATGGCAAATTGGTGGCATTGGCGTGTATCAATGGGTCAAACCCTCAGTCAGCTTGTCCCACAGCAACTCTTGGAAGAGGAAGCCACTGACTGCATTGTCAATGTATGATTGCTGTTGGCATTTGTTTCCACTCGGGCTACACTCAAGTGCCTCTGCCTTTTGAAAGCGGTGAACAGGGAGAGGATTTTGACTTTTGACTAAGATTATTAAGCTAAGAGCTACCTCAAATGTTGCAAAAGTGCCTTATACCAGTCCGTGTGTTATTATGTATTAGTTGTAAAAAGTGTAGAAGAAATGTAGCATATAAGCATTTTGCTGCCATTGTGTGGTTCACTATTTACTTTTCTTGTCCGTCATTCTTCCATGCATTATGTGTACATTGTACTTATAGTGCTGTTATTCTAAATTTGTCAGTTACTTGCAATTTCATAAAAGTATGAAATTCTGGTTCCTGCAAAGTGAGCTAGGAAATGTAAAAAAGCTGATTTCGACCAGAACAGCATGATATTCGACTCGAACAACTTGTCATTTTCTTTTTAGAAGTGACAGTAACCTGAGCACATCGGAACAAGCTGCTTTAGTACCAATGTAGCCCTAGGCTTATTGAGAATGAACTGCATCTCGGTTTTTGTCTGTCGGAATTTTAGGCAACTACTAGTTTAGTTAGCAGAATATGGGAATTTGGGGGGTTATGATTAGCGGTCCGAGATGAAATAACTTGAATGGTGATAGACTGGCTTATGGTAGATTGATCATTATTAGTGATACAGTGAGTAGTGATTACTGTTGTGTAGTAGTGGTCATCTAACTTTTTTATAGTAGCGAATAGTGATATAGTGATTAGACATGAATAGTGATTATCTAACTGTAACGCTCAAACGACTGTCACCATTCTGAATTTGGTACCATCCGTTGCTGTAACTGATCATAAATTGTAAATTTTACTCATAATCGTACTGTACTGTTCGCATTTGTTATTACTGTACATAGTATTCGTAAAAATGCGATAAAATGATTCTTTACTACTGAATACTGTAGTGCATGTTGCAAGGAAGATAACGATCATCTTGACTGTTTTTCTTTATGTCTTTAAGCCTAAATATGAAGCTTAAGCCAGAAGTTAAATGTAGGTCTAAGCCAGAGCCGAAATCTAAGCCAAAAGCTACAAAAAGGCTTTGGCATAGCTGTGTCCGGCATCTGGGAACATCCAGTAACATCACTAACACTAACACTAGCATGATTACCGTATCCTAGAAAATTACGGTTATGACTGGTTGGAAAAAACG